CAGTGCACCCACTATCATCTGGATGCCATTCACTTGCAGTGTTGTTTTCCACCCCTTCACTCTGAGTCTCTGTCCTTGCAACTGAGATATGACTATATTTGGGTTTTGTTTTTTCATCCCACATGCTATTCTCTATTTTTTAATCAGTGAGTTCAGTCTATTTACATTTAGGGTGATTATTGATATATGAGGATTGATTTTTCTCTAGCAGTTAGTAAAACAATTTTAATTTTTTTGTATGTAAATCTTTCTTGGAGTCATTTTACTCTTTATTTCTTCCTTTTTATGTTTTTTACTTGACAGCTTTACTGAGATATAACTGACATATAGTAAACCATACACACTTAGAGTGCACAATTTGATAACTTTTGACATATGTATAAATCTATGACACCATCACCACAGTCAAGATAATGAACCAATCCAGCACCTCCAAGAGTTTTTTTTCTTTTGAAAGAATTTTAATGATATTTAAAAGTAGCTAAGCTCCTGCTAAACCAAGTTTATTTTTACTAGTTGAAAGAACTTCTTAAGAATTATTTAATATAAATTTTAACACTTGCGATCTTAATATAAGAAAAAAAACACACTTCCATATTAACACCAAAAAACATCTTTTAAAAGTTTTTAATTTAAAAAGGTAAAACAGCTCTGGCCGGTTTGGCTCAGCAGTTGGAGTGTTGGTCTGCGGTCCAGAGAGACCCGGGTTCGGTTCCCGCTAAGGGCATGTATTTGGGTTGCAGTTTGTCCCCAGCCCTGGTTGGGTCGTGCGGGTGGCAGCCACTCGATGTGTCCCTTTCATGTCGATGTTTTTCTCTCTCTCTCTCTCTTCCTCTCTCTCCCTCCCACTCTGTCTAAATAAAAAATGGAAAAATGTCCTCGGGTAAGGATAAAAAATAATAATAATAAAAAATAAAAATAAAAAGGTAAAACAGTAGATGGTATTTAAAAAGACATAGTGGTAATTAAATCATAATATTTATGTTCCTTTTAATTTGCTATAGCAATTCCTTTTCTTTCCTTTTTTTTTTTTTTTTTTGGTACATGTCCCTAGTAGGAACCAAACCCGGGACTCTCTGGTCCTCAGGCCGACACTCCAACCACTGAGCCAAACTGGCCAGGGCACAGTTCCTTTTCTTTAGAGTATTCTTTTTTATGGTATTTTTTTTCCCAAAGAAAAATTACTAAAAAAAGATTTTTCAACATAAAAAATGCATTCAGGGCCTCCTTGAAAGCTATAAATAATGAATGCACTGTTCAGTAACAACACAAACATGAAAACAGCAGCAATTGCATCTGAGTTTTATATGTTCATGCATATGGTTACACAAGCACAAATGTTTGATCTTGAAGTCTCAAGAAAATATTTACAGTTTTGACCTGTGAAGAATAAAAACTAGGACAGTTTTCTCTTTCTGCCAGGGTAATTCCATCAGCTTTAAATTTCAGCACTGCAATTGTAAAATGATATGACAGAAAGTTTCACTACAATTCTTCAATTCACAGACCACAACAAATACTAGCTCCTTCTTTAAAAGGCATGTGGTGTATCTGTGTATGTGTCTATGTGCCTTTTTTGTGCATTTTTAATTTTTAGAAAGGTATTATCATAAAAAGTTCATCTAATGAATAGAACTCAGTCCTGCCTGCACAGGGACCCCTGGACAAGTTCTGTTATTCTGCCACTAATGCCAAGAAAAGAAAAATGAAAAAGAAGATGAAAAAGTAGAAATACCTAAGATTCCCTACTATTGAGTGAGAATATAATGATTTGTGCTCCCATGGAATTAAACATATTTCTGAATTCAATATATTGCTGAATTAGGTCATGAAATCATGATCATTTTGGTTTATCTAACACATCCAATTTATCTTTTTTTTTTTTTTTTGTATAAATCTCAGGCAATATTTATACATTTACCTAAGTTTTTATGAATGTTATCTTGTTTCAAGGTGGGTTGAAGTGATTATTCCATTATTGGATCACTATTTTGTTGCTGTAAATAGAGTTTGTATGATTTGTTTTAGGAAATCATAATTGCAATAAGATAAATATTCTCAACATTTGTCTAAATACCCATTTCAGTAGTAAATTTTTTACAACAATTTGCAATGGAAGCATTGAAAATGTAACAGAAATCTCAAATGAATAGTAAACCTTGGATCATTATCCCCTAAATGCTAAATGTCATTTTGCAAGTTGAAGGAAAACTTAAGTAGATTTTCTAGGCAGTTAATTTTTTAAATATTGAAATTTTCAAAATAAGTCACAATTTCTGAGATTTATATTGGAAAAAAAGTTCAGCAAGAAAAATATTGTCAGCATTTATCATTACTCAGCTAATGAAAGTTTCAATCTCAATGCATACAAAAATATTGTCACATTTTGCTATTAAAAAGTATTCTCTCATTTTCCCATGGACAGGACAGGAGAGGAGGAGAAAAGAGAACCAGTCTCATGCCCTTTGCATATAGATTCGATGTGGCAGATCAGGCAACATACCCTTTGGCCAACTTTAGACCACAGATCGCATGTTTTAGGTGTCACTGCATTAACATTTGTAATTACCAAATTTCTGAGGCACTAATGTAGTAGTTTTCTGGGAATTGTCAGAGGCAGAAAACATACTGTCTCATGGCAATATCCTAATTATAGAAAATATTAAGAACTTTGGGCAACAGGGATTGGAAAAGCAAACTTTCTCTAAATTCTCCACCAAACTATCTAAAATTTCAGGATACAGCAAAAGGATTCCAAAACAGAAAACCAAACCAAATTCTAGGGTTTTACATTTTCATAATGCATCATTCTAGAATGTTCTCGAATTCTATGATTGACCTTTGCTGGAAATTCTATTCTGCACGTTAAGACCAGAACCAATAGTTGAGAGTTCTGGGTAAACCTGTTTCTCATTAAAAAATAAAATAAAAAAAGGCATTGCTGTATTGAGTCTTTTTAGCAGATTACTTTGTGAAACTCACCAAAGGAAGAAAGAAACTTCTTTAGATCTGTGAGCCACCAACAAATCTGAGTGACATGTGTGGGTTTTACTGACCACGCTGAACAAATACAAAAAGACCCAGAATGAAAATTAGGGAATTGTGTTTACATCCTGGCTTTTTCACTAAAACACTTTTTGTGGGTATGTAGGATACATTTTCCCCATCCAAGGACAATCCAAAAATTGTCCCCCACACTTTAGATATAAAATAATAAATAATGCCACCTTTAGTGGTAAAATGAGAAAGCATAAAATACAACAATAAAGATAAATGTTTCACATCATAATGGTAATTTCCTTAACCAGAACAATAAACCACAAGCCATCCAAATGATTAAAGAGAAGATATAGGTTACTACTCTAACAATTTGGATTTAAATTTGTTACTACCATAATGGTGCTGCATATCAATATTGATTAATGCCTATATATTTCTTTGCAGTACTCAGATTTTAATGTTTATTTTGTTTTGTTTTGTTTTTTTAGGGCAAGTCTTTTTTTCTGGTGATATAGAATCTATAATGTCCTACTGGATTCCCATATACAAGATACCATGTTATATTAACAAAATAACATTTTAAATTTCATACTGTTGGATTGCTGTATATAAATAATGAAAAGCATTTAATATTTTTGTTACCAACTATTTCTCTGTAAACCAGGATGTTACAATTTACTTATTTGCCCAGTGGGGATAATACAGGTCCCTACTAAATTCACAGGGCTGTTGCATACATCAGGGAGACCATTTATGCACAAATTTTTTGAGATAAACAGAGCATTATGCAAAACACCCTTATGCTGACACCAGCTGCATGAGTAACAAGGAGCTCAGTCAGATCTCTTTGGGGAGTAGAATACAGAACTCCCCACACTGTACCTAGGTGGCAGGCCCACCTGGTTCCTTGGCTAAAAGCTGGGTGACCCTAGAGAAGGAAAATAAAAGTTTAAGAGACTTTCTAAGAGTGGTAGGACATTGAATTTTCTTACTAATGAATCAGCTGAACTATCTGTGTTGTACAGGTTAAATTAAAAGTTGCCCAAACGTTTATAGAAGAGAGGAGACCACACCTACTGATGATGTAGTAAAATGATTTTGCCTGTGGACAAACACAAAATTCTATCTCTTTGCTAAACAAACCCCCTAAGTTTAACACGATTACTCAATTTTCTCTCATAAGCTGTGGTTGCACAGACACTTCTCATGATTTAGTCTTCCACAAATGTAAATAAGTTTCCTTAGAAAAACACCGCCCGATATGCTTCATTCTTTAACACTGGCCGCATCGCTGAAATCTTCATGCTTCTCCCATATGTATTTTAAATAAAGTGCTGTAAACATAATCATTTTGCCTAACTTTTTAGTCTCTTACATAAAAATCTCAGCGGGGCCAGCTTTTACTCAGACTACCTTATTTAGCTATGTGTTACAATGGAAAAGACAACCAGCAAGTAACTATAGACATAGGGGGATAAAAGGCTTGGAGGAACTACATTAAGCAAATAATTTTTTCACTGATTGATAGAATTATGACTAATCTAATCTTGGCTTTGGTTCACCGAACTATATTCTCTACAAGTTTTAAAAATGTGTTGTCCAAGAACGTAGTGCTTTGCTCAGGAAGGTGTGGAGAACGCGGAGAAAGCGCTGCAGGGATGCGAGACAAACGGCGCCCCGGACACCACTGGCATTGCTCAGACACATGGGGGGCTGGGAGTCTGACAAAAGTCCCTGTTCACAGCCAGGGCAACCTGAAGAATGTTAAATGAATAATAATATATATATTTTAAAAAACAGAGAGATAAATAGCATTTTAGAAAAATATTACAGCGCATTTCTTTATAGAGCAGCTATTTTAGCAACATTTTACAAGGCTCTTAAAACTCAATTGTCATGGAGCACCATTAAATATTCACACACAAAAAATCCAGGTAGTTTGAAGATGACTATTTCCTCATTCGTGAGATGCTTAATTGACTTGCAGCAAGATGAAATGTTCAGTGCGTCTGGCTGGGGCCAACGTGGATGATGACATGCTTCTCATAAGCCCTTTTCATGGTTTTCTCAATTTGCTTCAGAAAAACTTGTGGGATTCGTCCACATAAAGTATGCACAGTTTCCAAGAACTTCAACTGAAGAGGGTAATACATGGATTGAAAGAGATTGTCTTGAAAGGGAAACTGAAAGATGATTTTTTAAAAAAGAAAGAAAAAATTGATTTTAGTTACTAAAATGACATTTAAAATGCAAATAACTGTTACTAAGAACTGAAACAGGGAACTACTGTAAGCATGCAGGCACAGGTTTGCATATGCATGAGGGCCCAGGGTCAAGTTCTTACTCAATCCTGAGCATTCCCAAGCAATTACGAACCCATTCTTGGCCTCAGTTTCTTTGCCTCTAAAAAAAAGACGATTTATTTGAGTTCTTAAGGCTCCTAAAATCTAAAAGCATGCTCTTGTAAGACCAAGTAGTCACTTCAAATCTACTATAATAAAACACTAAACTCTTTTTTTCCCAATTTTTATTATTTTTGTTACAGATGTTCTTTATAATTTTTGCCTTTGTACCAATCGTAATTAAACTTTAGGGTATGTCTATAGTAATCTCTGGAAGTCCAGAGTTTAGCAATTACTACTAACATTTATTAGCAATGAACTTTATTTTAATAATTCAGATACCAAATACTAGTTGGTGGTTGTTTGTCTCTTACTATTAAACTCTTGAAAAATTCTCTTGTTTTCCCATGGAATACATCCATGAGCAATATTTTCTAAAATAAATTGTTCAGCCCATTTACTTATGAGCAGGTGTCAAAGAAAGTTCTATTACAATATTGTTGAAAGGGGAAAGTCTCTAGTAGCTCAAGTTAAAGACTCATTGTTAGGAAGGACATTTGATACAGAAAAAGCTAGAGGGGAAAAGGAAGACAAGAATGGTGAATGGTCAGTATACTCTTGCCTGACAGCAGAGTGGGTCGATGTCTGGTTTCCTACAACAAGTTTCAATCCTTCATTGTTCATCAAAAATATTACTTAAGCATGTTTACCAGAAATGGGAATTTCTTCCAAGAAGGAGATTATGCATTATGTAATATAGATGTTTTTGTCCCAAACCATGTTTAAGAAACCTTTTTTCTTTTCCTTCAACGCGCAATTTAGACATTGATAAACTCCTTTTCACCATGTATCCCCATTGACAGGAACAGAATAGGTGAAAACCATGGAGTCATCATTGATTCCTTTCTTTCCTTTACATCCCTCAACCAATCAATTCATCAGCAAGTGCTGTAACTGCGCCTTGATAACATATCCTGAACATGGCCCCTTCGCCCCATCTTCCTGCTATCACAAAAATGCATGCCAGTCCTATCTGCCATCTTGATGGCTTCAGTAAGTCTCATTGAAGGGCCAACACTCTTGCACTCCTTCCACCAAGTTACCAATGTGATATTTTTAAGCATAAGTAAGAGCATGTCATTTTCATGCAAGGGCCTCTCACTGCGGTTAGAATAGAGCCCATCTCCTCTCTTGTCTTAAGGCTCCATGTGACCTGGAACTCTCTGTGCTCATCTCCTCCCTCCCCTTGTCTCATCATCCTGCTCACTATGGCTTCATCCCTGTCCCTCAGGAACAGCAAACTCATTCCTGCTTCAGGGACATTCGCCAGGTTTTCCTTCTACTTAGCAGCATCTTTCCCCAGATTTCCCCATGGCTGCCTCTATCTAACCAGTCTCAGGCTTGCACAGGCCACCTTGAGGACCCCAGCCCTTCCAGCTCCTCTTCACCTGTGCCTTGGCCCCTCACCCTTCACTGGTTCCCTTTTATTACCCTCTACTATCTTATACTTTTTAAAAACTTTCTTTGCTCATGTGAGTATTATCTGGCTTCTCCAACCCAGAATATATGCTTCATGAAGACAGGGCTTTGTCAGTCATGTTAAATTCTGATTGTTCCTCCATAAAATAGGTTATTTGTAGATGGTTGTTGAAATAATTACTGAAAGAATGTGTATCTGATAGAAGACTGTCCTTGTATCATGATGGAAGGAGATTGTACTTCCTCTTTACACAAACACACACATATAGGATTAGGGTGTGTGTGTGTGTGTGTGACAGAGAGAGGAAGAGAAAGAGGTGTGTGTGGAGGGAGAGATGGAAGGGGAGGAGAGGGGGGAGGAAGGATAGGAAGGGAGAAGCGACGGAAACAAGAAAAATATTTTCAAAGACAGATGTGAAGGGAGAGAAATATAGTGAGAGAGAAAGAAAGATAGGAAAAGAAAGCAAGTGATAAAATGTAAACAAAATAGGGAAGGAGATAAGTGTGAAACTGTTATCAAAATAATTTCTAATTATTGAGCACAATCATATGTGAGGCATAGAAGAAGTTTAAAGACCATCATTTGTTGACACCTCACAAAACTTTTATGAGGTACATAATATTATCTCCATTTCATAGACAAGGAAACTGAGGCCCAGTAAGGCAGTGGTTCTCAACCTTCCTAATGCTGCAACCCTTTAATACAGTTCCTCATGTTGTGGTGACCCCCAACCACAAAATTATTTTTGTTGCTACTTCATAACTGTAATTTTGCTACTGTTATGAATCGCCATCAGAAATATGTGTTTTCCCATGTTGTTAGGCGACCCCTGTGAAAGGGTCATTCAACCCCCAAAGGGGTCTCAGCTCACAGGTTGAGAACCACTGCAGTAAAGGAATAGCACATAATTATCAACTAATAACTAGAAATTGACAAAATTTAACCTGAGAGTTCTGTTGATCCCCAAAGCCAAGACCTGACCCCCTTATGTGTGATGCACGGCACTGCGGAGAGTGGGAAATGTATCTTTTATAATGAAATCTGTCTATATTCACTCACATTTCAGTGTGGGGTTAGTGATAGTCCTGCTTGAAAGTCTTGAAGGAAAAATGTCTTTTTAGGCCCAACACATTATTGAGCGTATTAGGTAAGATCATTTATGGCACACTCTTTTTGATCCTCCAGAAAACAAACAAGATGCAGTGTAACTCAAGAATCACACTTTCTCAATTCTAAACCAGGGCTGACAGATTACAAAGGACACCCAAGAATGGCTCTGATGTACACATATCTACTGCATACCTCTTTATATGCCATTTGTACTCCTGAATGGGTTTGCCCCTGGAGTCAGTGTTTGAATATCTAAATGTGATTATCACTAAGTACAAAACAGATTTCCTATGTAAGCAAACCAACAGCTGGAAATGTAGGAAAAGAGATGTTAGTTTATGGGCATTCGAAACTCTTTCTCTGCACAGAAGACAATTCTGGGAATTCCAGAGATGGAATTTTCTGGGATTCTCTTTAGTAAAATGCACATTTTCATAGAGGCTAAACTGTGTTATTATGTTGCAGGATTCATCCTCCTACCCCTGCTGTAGCCAGTGCATGAATCGGGGAGATTCTTTGATCCTAAATTTTAAAAAAACCTTAAGCTCTGGCCAGTGTAGCTCAATTAGTTGAGCATCACCCTGTACACTGAAGGGTTGCCAGTTTGATTCCCAGTCAGAGCACATACCCAGGTTGTGGGTTCAGACCCTGGTCAGGGTGCATACAAGAGGCAACCAATGTTGTTTCTGCCTCATATTAATGTTTCTCTCTTTCTCCCTCTAAAATCAACAAACACATATTTGAGAAAAAAATGTCTACATGCTTTAAGTCAGGGGTCAGCAAAATTTTCCTGTAAATGAATAGATAATAAATATTTTAGACTTTGGGGGCTATATGATAGGTAACCAGTACACATTTATGCTATTTCAGTATAAAAGCAGCTACATACAATACATAAATGAATGGTTGCTACTATGTCCCAATAACATTTATTTATGAATGATGAAATTTAAATTTTATATAATTTTCTTAAGTCCTAAAATATTCCTCCTCCTTTCATTTTTTTCAACTATTTAAAAAAAAACAAAAAAAAAAACATTCTTTGATAACAACAGGGAACTGAGGGGGAAAAATTAAAGACAGTAAAAACAAGAAACAACAAACAAAAACATTTCTACCCCACATGTCTTTTTTTTATTTATTAAATTTTTGAGCATGTGCTAGACATTGTTTTATTTATTTATTTTTTATTTTTTCCTTTTTCATTTATTTTTATTTACTTATTTATTTTTAATATTTTTAGTTTTATTTAATTTTATTTTTCTTACATATGTTTCTCCTTTTTTACCCATTGACACCCTCCTCCCCATCCACCTCCTGCCCGGTACCTGGCTTTGTTGTACATGTCCATTGGTTATACATACATGCATATAAGTTCTGTGTTTATCTCTTCCCACCCCCCACCACCCCCTCTTCTGAGGGTTGTCAGTCTGTACCGTGTTTCTGTGTTTCTGGGTCTACCCTATTCCTCAGACTGTTATATTCATTATATTCCATATATAAGTGAGATCATGTGGTATTTGTCTTTTTCTGCTTGACTTGTTTCACTTAGGATAATACTTTCCAGGTCCCTCCATGTCGTCTCAAAGGATAAGAGATCTTTCTTTCTTATAGCTGCATAGTACTCCATTGTGTATATGTACCAAGCTTTTTTATCCATTCGTCTACTGATGGGCATTTGGGCTGTTTCCAGATCTTAGCTATTATAAATAGTGCTGCTATGAACATGGGGGTACATATATTCTTTCTGATTGGTATTTCGGGCTTCTTAAAGTATATTACTAGAAGCGGAATCACTGGGTCAAATGGAAGTGCAATTTTTAATTTTTCGAGGTAGCACCATATTGTTTTCCATAGTGGCTGCACCTGTCTGCATTCCCACCAGCAGTGTACTAGAGTCCCCTTATTCCACACCCTCGCCAACACTTGTTTGATGATTTGTTGATGGCGGCCATTTTGACAGGTGTGAGGTGATACCTCATTGTTGTTTTAATTTGTATCTCTCTGATGATGAGTGATGTTGAGCATTTCTTCATTTGTCCCTTGGCTTTGTATGTCCTATTTGGAGAGGTGTCTATTCAGCTCCTCTGCACATTTTTTAATTGGATTCTTTGTCTTCCTTTTATTGAGTTGTATATATTTTGGAAATTAACCCCTTATCTGATGTATCACTGGCAATGATGTTCTCCCATACGGTGGGTTGCCTTTCCATTTTGATGGTTGTTTCTTCTCCTGTACAGAAGCTTTTTAG